TACCATAAATATGTTGATTATTTATGGTCATGTTACATGTATTAACTGCATTTTAATATCATTCCTTATTATAACTATTGAATTGTATATATATTTTAAAAGTTAATAACTTTTGTATTTTTTATCAGTTTTACATATGTAATATATCAAATTAATCTTCATTTGATGTGCTTCGATTTAACATCCATATTGTATGTATAAAAAAATAATTTATATTGATCTTTATAACAATAATAAAATTCTTGTTAATATTAATTAGAAAAATAAAATTATTTATCAACTAATATATATATATATTCAAGTAGTTATATGATATAAGTTATAAAAACTAATATAATGTAATACATGTTAAGTCATAAGTAACACATATCATTCTAAAATATATAGTAATATATATTTTTTTTTAAAAAGTAAACTAAATTTAATATAGTTTTCTCATTAATTTTAAAATTTAATAATAATTTTTTAACAAGCACCCGTGTAATACACGGGTGTTGTACTAGTATATTCAATATTTAATTAAAATATTTGAAATATAGAAAGCATTGTATTGCAATTGAAATTTTTAATACATTAATAATAATATAAATTTGAATTTATATATATCAAATATATTTAAGTTTATATTTTTGTTATATTAAAAATATATAAATATTTATTAACTTATTCAAATATATATATATATATATACACACACACACAATTGATCAGTCCTATCAACGAATTTTGACTGGTTCATTGGAAACCAGTTTGTTCAAAGGAATCCAACCATTTGACTGATTCTAGATTCAACAGTCAGTTTAGCCCAATTTTAAAAAAATAGTAGTTGATATTATTTTTATTTTACGTTTTAAATTTTTAACCTCTACATTTTTTTTTTTTTAAAAATGATAATTATAATAAAATTAAATAATTATTTTGTAAGTATATTTATTACTTAATTAAAAATATTTTAAATGCAAAAAAAATAATAATATAAATTCAAATATATTTGAATTTATATATATCAAATATATTTAAATTTATATTTTTGTTATATTAAAAAATATAAATATTTATTAACTTATCAAAAAATATATATATTATTAACTAGCCCATTCAACTAATTCGGATCGGTTCATGTTTGGCTGAGTTTTCAAACCAATAATAGTTGATATTACTTTTATTTTTATTTATAAATTTTATTAACCCCTACAGTTCTATATTTCTAATAAAATTAACTAAATATTTTTTAAATATATTTATTATTTAATAAAAGTTAATTTTAAATATAGAAAACATGTATTATTATTATTTTTTTGGTCTCGAGACTAAATTTATACTATCACAGATTGTTTTATCCTCACGGAATAAAAAATACAACAAAAAAAGTAATAAAACTGAGAAAATTGCAAATTTGGTCCCGTTTGATTGGGATGGTCGCAATTTTAGTCTCACGGTCGCAATTTTAGTCCTGAGGGTTAACAGTGACTTCACGGTCCGTTGAATTTGGGACCAAATGTGAAACAAACATAAGTTAAGGACTGAAAATGTGCCTCTTGGGACTAAAAATGAAACCGTCCCAATCTAACGGGACCAAATTTGCAATTTCCTCACCAAAACTAATTATAAAAGAAGATTTTTGTGTATGTAGTGTTATTTTGAGTTGCTACTACACATTATTTTGAATATAGTACTTCTATTTTACCCGTGATGCATGGGCAAGGTCAAGTTTGATTGTACTAAGTGTTAAATAAAGTTTAATTCAATAATATAAGAAAATTAAATTAAAATGAATTACTGTCAGTTATAAGAATTTTCATCATACACTACAATATATATATGTTAATTGGTCCTCTCTGTATAATATTATTTAATCTTTCCGATTTTAATAAACTTTTAAGCACCAATATATTATAATATTAAACTTACGTAGACACAATTTAATAAACAGAAATCACAACAAAAGTGTAAAGGTAATCAGTTTTA